CTTTTGTTCAAGAAAAGTCCACTTTGAATAACCATATTCCAGCAATGTAACCTACAAGCATTATAGGATGAAGTATTTTCTTTTAATATCCAATAAAAGGGGTGGTTGGAATAAGAATGGCCCGAAAAAAAAAAAAAAAAATGGACAAAAAATTATAAAATATTAGAAATTAAAAAAAAATAAAATTTAACAAAATATATATAAATAAAAAATAATTGTTCAGGCTCATCTATTCAAAACTCAAAACCACAATCTTTCAATATACATAAACTTGACACTCTTTTCATCTCATTCTGATACAGCACTCAATGCTGTATGGGCCTGATCAGAGTTTTCTGTGTTCAACCATATTTTAAACAAAAATCACAAATTAACAATTTTTACTTTCTTTTTTTCTTTAATAAACATATAAACTCAGAATAATCATTCATTTAAGACAACACAATATATGACATTAGATAAATATATACTTTATATATATATATATATATATATATATATATATATATTTGCAGAGACAAAAGGTATATGTAAGATAAATATCAAGGTGCAAATTTGTGTTTTCATGCAGTTCATATACACTTATAGGCTTATCAAAAGTAACAAACAGCATGCAAATGGATCAGATAAAAAGAATTAAGCTTTGTCAAAAGAAATACAAATTTTAAAAAGTGACAAAAATTAAAAGCCAAAGACAATATTGCTTGACTATACAAATTCAAGTCAACAAATTTTAAACATCAACCAAAGAACGGACATGATATTTAAATATTGTTTGAGTCAAAACACACAAATATTTTTATAGAAATAAACAAAGATCAAAAAACAATATAAAAATATATATAGAGGGATAAAGAAGGGAAAGAAAACAGAAAGGTGAAAAAAACAAAAAAAAAAAAAACACCACCACACAAAAAATAAAATCAGGGTTTTACAAACCTGGAGGGAAGAAAAAAAAAAAAAAAAAAAAAAAAAAATAAAGTGAATATTGGCCAAAGTTAGCATTAACCATAATCTTGTCTATTGATGAATAAATTAAATCTAAATTATCTACGTCATTGTTTTTGTTATATAGTTTGTTTTGAATTTATTTTCTTCATTTTAATAATTTTTCAAATGTTTTAGCCAAACGATTCTTTGTTTATTAAGCTGGCAATTCAGAATAAAAAAAGTAATTTCTGCCAGAATTTTTGGGATGAGGAATTATTTACACTATTCACATTTAGGCTATTGAGCTCATCTTTGTTGTTGTTATCACAATCTTTTGGACATTATGACCTCCTGTTAACGGTTAGAGGACACAACTACCAAAATGTGATTGCATCAAAGTTGAGGATAGTAGTCTGAATGTAAATAAAAATGTAAAAAAACTTAAACTCCCACTTTTTTTATTTCTGTAAGATGAAATCTAGCTCATCACAATTAATTTTTGACTAATATATCATTCATATTAATTTTAATATGTCATTCATATTAATTTTAGCTGCCATACTGACAGTCCAAGTAGCTGTGATGAAAAGCAATTAAAATTAACAGAAAAAAACATCAGTGAAAAATTAATATTGGTTGACAATGCAACCTCTTTGAAAACTTCACAATATCTTAACAATCATAAACTGAGTGTTCATAAAAAAGCAGATGAAATTACAATGAAAGTAATTGTTGTCAAAATATTAATTCAAACGCAGACTGATAAGGATTCACCTGGCAATTCCAAACAACTAACTTTGGAGAAATATCATGAGTTTTGTTGAGCCCCATATGCTGACCCCATTTCAATCAACTGGTGTGACAGGTAAGTCTAATAATAATAAAGGAGTGGGTGACAGCATTGGTTTCTACTTTTTGGTAGAGTAGCAAGCACAAGCACACACACACAAGCACACGCACACACACACACACACACACACACACACACACACACACACAAGCACACACACACACACACACACACACACACACACACACACACGCACACACACACACACACACACACGCACACACGTACACGCACACGCACACACACACACACACACACACACACACACACCACACACACCATCAGGACCTCTTCTTTCAAAAACCTCTTAAATTGGCCATAAAATATTGTAAAGACAATGAATCGTTAACAGTTATAAAGATAAGAAAGAATAACTTATACTATATACAAATATTTAAGGTATGTCAGGCTATATGACGGTTCCGTATAGGATGTAGGTTCGATTCCTGTCGGAGGACGAATATTTTCTATTAAAATTTCTCGGACATTCAGACCGGTAAATGTTATTAATACTGTTTATTATAAACAGAGCATTTACTTAAATATTTGTATCTATAAAAAATATCTTAAAATAATTGTCGGACTTTGTCCATTTTATAATGTGTGAAGTTATAAAGCTAACTTTCACCAAAATGTATTCCTCTTTATTTTTCTTATTTTTTTTTTTTTTGCATGTAGACAAAAGTAGATGGTTAGAGGATTGGTTAAAAATGAGAAAGGTTAAGAGAATTGGGTAATGATGACAGAAAATAGGAAGAAATTGGTTGGCATTATAGGAAATGGAATAGAGAAGTCTGTGGAATTACTCAGTTTTTTTTAGACTATATTTTTCTCACCAATATTTTCTTTGTTGGCATCACCACTTTTCTTCTGGGATGTACTTTTGCTGTCAGGTGTAGAAGCACTGGCCGCTGGTTTTGCTTCTGCTTTGGCATCTTCTGTAATTAATGAACCACATGATCTTAGTTCCACAGATTTTCAGTTTCACAAAAGTCGGCTGTCATTTTAGAATTCATGTCAAGAATTAGGCCAGTCTGATATTCTCAATCATCAGTATTTTAATTTCTCATTTATTAGTTAATTATTATTATATTTTTTTTACTCTAGCAGAACATTGGTTGGCACTTAATCAAGTGACAGCAAGTCTTGGCAATAGTGCAAAACATTTTTCCGTATTTTTGTTGATTTTAGTAATGCTGTCGTCTGGATGGTTTTGATTTATTCTTTGATTTCCAATTCTTCTGGAAAATCTTTGGAACCATTCCAGGGTATTGTTATCATGTTTTTAGTCTGTTTTATGGACTGCCTCCAATTTTCAACCTGAAACCTCAAGAGACTGCAAGTCAACAGATCAGGATTCTGCAGTTGCCCTTGAGTTTACCATTCCCCAGCCCCCACAAAAAAAGATACATATTGCGCAGTGACTCACTCTTAATGGTATAAAACTAGTTTATATACCATTATAACAGTTAAAAAGCAAAAACGACATATAGGGAAAACAAGTGTAAACAATTAGTAACCATCTTTATTTCTGAAATAAAAATTACAACTTTCTACAAAGTAACATTTCTTGGTTTTTAATGACTTTTGATTAATTTACAATTTTTTTATTTCTTGGTTTTTGTTGGCAAATTCTCCAATGACATCTGTCAATTGTTGCATGAAAGACAAGTAGATAGGCCAAGATATATATACGCCATAGTTTCAGTTACTCAAAATTGAAAAGATCCTTCAACTGTGAGTATTGTCCCAACATTAAAACCACTTTCATTTCAATACAGCCCATAGAGGTGTATAACCTACAGTAGACACAAAGGCGCTGACCCCATAAAAGTGCTGCCCTCATAAAAGTGCTGCCTGTGGCATACTGCCCCCTCTAGTTACAACACTGTGTGTCATATGTTCTATGTCTATGTTAGTTTAAACTTTCAGTAAAATGTGTCAAGTGTATATACAGAAAAAATTTGTGTCCAATTATAATGTGTCAACAGATTCAATGGAGAGTTTTAAAAACTAAAATTATTATTATTATTATTATTATTATGTTTTGCCTTTACTTTGTGTAATATGAATTGAACCCATCTCATCAGAAACTTCAAGAGGCAACTTTTGTATCAAAAGACACAAACTGATGAGGTGCCATGCAATCATAGAGAAATAAAATGTAATTGTGGCCAAAGCATAGAGAGAAATCTATGCCAGATGTAAGAAGTATTTCTAAGTATGATTTTATGAAACTCACATATTTTAAGGTGACCAGGTATTTGATCCAGATAGTTATCTGCTTCTTTTGATATAATTCCCAAAGCCCCAATAACAATGGGTAATGTAGTTGTCTTGAGATGATACTATCTATCTATCTATCTATCTATCACTTTTATTATTATTATTATTACCAAATTCTATTATATAATTGCAAATTTATTTAACAGCACTTTGCTTTTATTCATTCTTGGAAGTCATATTGTTATTACAGAATTCAGACTAAGAATGATTTAATTCTAATAATATATTGGTCTCACCTGTAAAACAACATCCTGGAATTAAAACAAAGCTGAAATTAATCCATTTAAGCAATGAGAAAATAAAGCTTATGATTAATGAACTGTCTTCCAAATGATGTCAGTGACAAAGAAATGAGTCTGAAAATCAGAATTTTATTAAAAGCTAAATATATATGCTTTTTTTAAAAAAGGATAAACGATGAACTGTTGCTGAAATTGAACAAGAATAAATAATAAAAATAAAAAACTACTGATAAGGAAGAGAATGAAAGAAATGATTAACTGAAAGAGTTTTAAGAGGTTTTACTGATATGAACAAATGATACAAGTGTCAAAAACTGAAGAAAAAGATTCACTTGTATGTGAATCATTTCTTAGACATTTTTTTAATATTTTTCAATAAATTGCCAGGATGCAGAAGGCAATTATCTCCCTTTTTACAGGAGAAATTTCCTAATGTCCCAAGGAATACTGAGAGTCATGTGACAGTCCATGCTGAGGATAGTTCAAAAGAGACAGTTTGGAATAACCAAATGCCATACGTCCTGAATAAAAAACATAAAAGATGTTACCATGACTGAACCATGTCTCTTCTAGAGTCATTACAAATAAGTCATTTCACATACTGCTTGCTTTCTTCAGACAAGTTTTAGTTTACGTGTGTAGGATAAATTGTGCATTCTATAACTAATTTGCAGAATATATAGCTTCATGTCTTGCACCTCTCGCCTGTTGAACTCTTTTCCCTATTCCAGTTTTCCTGAGAGCTATAATCTCCAACTATTCAAATGTAATGTCAATCGACATATCCAGTTGCCTTGATCTATCCACTATCCTTCTCCTCATCCTTTCCTCTATCACTCCTATCTGATCTTGCTCCAAATCTTCTGTAACCCCTTGCGTCCTAGTGGCCTCCCGCCTTACTTGGGGTGAACGCTTAAAAAAAAATGCATATATATATATATATATATATATATATCAGATAATCCTAAGGACCCAGGCAAACCTATGTAGGTTTCACCTAAACGGATCTTCAGGGTAAAGCCAGCTGAAAATCTACTTAGTGTATTGAGGACTTTATGTAGTTATCTTTTTTTACTCATTTGGTTTTTTTTTTTGGACTTGGAGCTTAAACACTGGACGATTGTTTTTGCCTTGTTTTAGTGTTCTTGGTCGGGTACCGATTTATTCTACTTCCAAATGAGTACCACTGTTTATATATATATATATATATATATATATATATATATATATATATATATATGTATATATGAAGAAATATAGTCTCAAGATGTGCTATATTTATGGGATAAAGTGCTCAATATCAGAGATAGAGCATGTGTAAATATAAAAGTGAACATAGAAGTCAACACTTAGAAGCAACAGTCTGTTTCATGCTAGATGCAATTGTGGCCTGATGATTACATCTAGCATGAAACAGACTGTTGCCTTTAAGTATTGAATCCTATGTTCACTTTTATATTTATATATAAATTTATATATATATATATATATACATATATATATATATATATGATAAAAATATATTTATGGGTTAAAGTGCCCAGTGTCAGGGATAGAGCATATATAAATATAAAAGTAGACATTGTAGTCAAGTCCAGTGGCAGCTCTCTGTTTTATGCTTAAATGCAATTTTTATTTATATTGCACACACACACACACACACACACATAGCTTTTGTAACAATGTTTCCCCCTAATGTAGGATCGTTAATTAATCTGAAACTTTTAAAACCATTTATTTTATTTTCAACATCATCACTTGATAAGACACAGAGTGTGTTGAAACAAAATGGCTATTTTTGTAGTGATTTTATAACATACTTATGTTATAATTTTTTTTATAAAAAATACTTATATATATATATATATATATATAGAGAGAGAGAGAGATAGATATGTATGTATATATGTATATATGTTTGCTTTCTGTTTTTTATATGATTTGTGTATTCTAGTGTTGTAAATAAGATGTTTTCTGGCATGACAACTGGAACTCATTTGAAGGGCATAAAAAAAATCAAGATCAACATATAAACATGTCTTTAGCTGGTTTTTGAATGTTATGTTTTGGACATGTTTATTCATCCATGTCTGAAAAAAAGACACTTTTGATAAAAATGTATAAACATATCTAGGCTAGGCAAGGGATTAAAGCCAGAAAGTATTTTTAGATTGGAAGCATTTTTTTAAGATAATAATGATTTACTGATACAAGTTATACTAATTAACCCATAGATGGGGAGAGAAGAGGTTATTTCATACCTTTCCCAAGAATCATACTTATTATAAAACCCAGGTGTGTGTGTGTGTGTGTGTGTGTGTGTGTGTGTGTGTGTGTGTGTGTCTGTTCGTTTATATATTGGATCGGATTTCCTACATTTTTCAACCGATTTCAACAAAACTTCACAGGACTATGTAAAATTACCTTGTGGTGGTTCTGAGAGTGCCAAAAATTGGAAAAACACAATTGTTTTTGCATGAAATCAATTTGAAAACACGATTAAGAGGCATTGCTGTTTCGAGAATGAAAGAGGGACAACTCATATCGAGTTATACTTATTATAAAACCCAGGTTGTTTGTGTGTGTGTGTGTGTCTGTGTGTGTGTGTTCGTTTATAGTTATTTTCCAAGTGTAGCTTAGATGTGGCACAAGGCTGAAAGTAGGGGGCATCTAGTGAGGATCAAACTCACTTTTCAGTTGTAACTGATCTAGCGAGACAAGCTTGCTAACCACACCGAGGTGCCCAGTGTGTGTCCATTTATATATGGGATCGGATTTCCTACATTTTTCAACCGATTTCAACAAAACTTCACTTTTTTTTGGCAGGTGGTGTTTCTTATTGTTTTGCACACTTTTTTCTTTATTTTTACATTCAGAATGCTTTAAAAATTCCATTTACAAGAAAATTGTTTATAATAAAATTGAAAAATTCTATTCAATCGGTAGACTCATAACGTTGAAAACAAAACAAAACAAAAAAAACTAATTAAGACATGCGTGTCCGTCAACCTTAAACAATAATCTTTCTCAATTTTATTTTTCAGTCTTTATGATGGTTGGTACTTTATCTATCTCTTACTGTTACATCCCTGGGCAACTGCTAGTATTTAATAAAAACATTGCACAATTTCTACAGTATATTTTCTATGAGATAAGTTGTTAATATTTAATGCAATGAACAATATTTTATTGGAGAGTTGGAATTGAAACTGCATCCCAAACTCCAATTAACATTGTTGACTTAATTAAATTCAAAGTAAATGACATGCAACATAAAGTAGCCGTTCATATACGCAATTTGATGATTTGTTTTGTTATGGCTTATAAACCTTTTGCAGATTATTTAAAGACAGAAAAATTGTATGAATTTTTTGAAGCAATAATGATATACTGATACAAGTCCTGATTTT